CTTAGGTGTTGTACTTTGTCGAAAGCTTTTTCGAAGTCGACTAGACATATGAATACGTCGCAATTGACATCTCGACATCGTTCGATTAGTGTTTGTACAGTAAATAATGCTTCTCTGGTGCCAAAGTCTTTTGTGAATCCCAATTGGATTTCACCTATTCTATCATCTAGCTTTTTATAGAACGTTCGTGTATCACTCATAAAAACACTTTTAGAATATGGTTTATCAAGCTAATTGTCCTGTGCTCGTCACACTTCATTGAGTTTGATTTTTTGGGTATTGGAATGAATATTGATATTAACCATTCTTTCGGAATCTCTCCCGTATAATAAATGTCATTAAATAATTCTATTAGTGTGCCCATATGATTTTTTGTTAATATTCTTAAGATTTCTGTAGGTATTTCATCTGGTCCCATGGTCTTCTTCTTGATTTAATGACCTCAATTTTCTCGTCGTCTTCGAATAGCTCTTTTATATATTCTTGCCATATGTTTATTTTATCTGCCGATTCCGTTATTATCTTGTTATTTTTATCCATATTTCCAATACCCTTCTTTTTGTATATGCCAGCTGTCCCTTTGATTTTCCAATGTATGTTAAAGCTATCATGTTGTTTATCTAACCTTTCTATTTCTTCTTACTTTTCTGATAGCCACAGTTCCTCAGCTTCTTTGATGTTCTGTTTGATTGTTTTATTAATTTTTGTGTACTGTTGTTCGTTTTTATTCTTGTGTGCCCTTCTTTCCGTCATCAGTTCTTTTATCTCTTGTGTGATCCATTGTTTATTTTTACATATGATGTGTCTTCTTGAAGTTTTTGTTTTGTGATATTTCTCAAGATTTCCTCTACTTTCCTCCATTTATATGTTGCTGTCAATTGCTTTTGCCTTTCTACTTCCAGAACGTCTTTGTGCACTTGTTATTTGATTTGGTGGTATATATCAGTTTCTTTTAGTTTTCTCAGATTGATTCTCGGTGTTTTCTCGAAACGAGGATCTTTCTCTTTTTCATTCACCCTTCATATATATTCCAATTCAAGAGTAAACTTAATAGTCTGACTATCATTTCATTAGCTTTTAATCTTGATTTTTATGTTAGGATGTCTGGATTATGATTAAAATGAGTTCTTAGGTACCACTCGAAGTGACTTTTGACAAATCTTCGAATTATGAAATTTTTGTTTTCGCAAGCATGTTAAACGGCCTTAGTAGGTATTTGCTATCTAAAACTGATATTTTTCTAATTGTTAAAAACATAAAATCGCGACTTGATATGTCTCAGAAACATTTTGCTTCATTGGAAGTGCATGTGTACTACTTTGCCAAGTTTGAAAAATACTAATATCCAAATACTACTGTAATTTATTATATTAGTTTTACCTTACTAACAAAGACCAACTTTTGCGATCTTGAAACAAAGTACGAAATAAATAAACACACTAACTTCTTTTACTAGTTGCGTTGTAAAATCAAAATTTACTAATAATTAGACTTGCCAAGTCTTCACAAGATCGTAAGTATAGGTAACAAAAAAATTGGAATTGTTTTTATTTACTAGTAAATGTAAGTCATACCAACGAATATAAACACTCATAGAAGGCTAATCCTTAACAAAATGATGTCTCTTGATTCAGACGGTGACGTAATGGAAAGAAACAAGGTTTATAACCCGGTCGATAATGACATTGATAATAAATTTTTACCCATGTTATGTACAAACGTTTGGTACTTATAGTGAGATGAAGCTTTGGGCGAGCGGTAGAGCACTTGTCTGTCAATTTTTATTTGTAGGATCAAGTCTCATATCAAGCATTTTTTTTTAAATTTTTTTGCCCGATATTCTATTTTTGAATATTATTAACAAAAATTAGAAATTAAAAAATCGATATGGTTTGGATCTACATCTATAAGAATAATAGCAGCGTGTCAAACCACTCGATCAAAACTTGTTTTCGTACTAATTGCCAAACGTTTTTGTAAATTGCACATATAGTTTGATTATCAGCGCCTCTATCTCTCTACTGAGAACATCATATCCATAAGCGGCTACCTTCGATGAGCATCTTTATTCGTTGGTGATACCAAACTTGCTAATGTTTAGTTTTCTTTTTTTCCGGTTTGTTTTTGTAATACCATCCCCGGAGTACTTACTAAACTAATTCGCAAAAATCGTTAGAACTGTTTTTATTTATTATTAATAAATGTGTAAGCAATACCAATAATGCCAATGGTTTACTTTTTCTTTTTTGTTAGTCCATCTCTGGGTTGTTTATCAAACTAATTCCGTATTGTCTGCTATATTTTCTTGAATTAATCTTTTTCAAAAAGATTTTCAAAAAGTCCGTAAATCTTGTTCAAAAAACTTATATGAACTTAACAATTACTATTAATAGTCTATAAATTTCTTTTCGTGTATTTTGATGACACAAATTAAAAAACAATCCGAAGATAAACTCAGAAATGTCACCTATAACATTTTTGTCACAATGTATTTTGAAATGGTGACTTGCGTCTCGGAACAGCCAGTGAGGAGCCACGACTACACGCGTTTATAGCCAGCAACTACATCTATAGCATTTTTCATATAAAAAACTTGCACGTCATTCATGATTTACGTCGTCGTCAGAACCCCACAGCATTGCCAACTCATCATAATAGTTAGTAAGTGAGGAATTTTTAAAATGTCAACTATTTGTCAAACTATTATATTAAATGTCAAACTACTATCTTATATGAAAGCTTATCAGCTTTTTACAGATTAATTATTTGTTTTCACTTATCACAATACACAACAATAATTAGTTTTTAAAGCTATTAATCTAAATTTAATATGTATTTATAAATACAATTTATTAATATATATTATATTATGATCAAATTGTGTCAGAATTCAAAACATAAATAAAATTCCTACTCTAAAAAAGCAGCAACACTTTATACACTTTTGCCACACGCTTAACTGTCAATAAAATTTGAAGTATTTCCGTATCAGTTGCGTACAATTGTCTAATATATTTAATTAAAATTATTATTTTGTGGAACATTATACTTCAAGAGTTATTTCATAAAATTTATATTATTAATAATAACAAATGTTTTTGGTTATTTAATCAATACAATTCTAAAATTTCCAATATAATAATGATTACATTTTTCTGATTATTACACCATGTTGACGCCTATGAAAGATCGAGCAGTTCCGTATGGGTTTCGTATTATTAGCTGTGTTTGGAAAATTTCAACTCTAAGGTTGACGTTCTGGAAATTTTAAATACAAGTGACGTCACTTTGTATAAATCGTGACGTGCATACAATGGAAGCAACTGAAGCATACAGTCCTCGTAGACACACCGTCTCAGGACTAGCAACTTCAACGTGGAGTCATATGTCGCCATGTTACCTAATCCAACGGTAACTTTAACATCTTAACATATTATAAAAAATACTGTAAACCAAATGTAACTAATTATTTGTTAACGGGTTTTTACCCATATATTTAGTGGCTACATTCATGTACTCCTAGACACTGATGATGGAATATGGATTCTGAAAACGTTTTGTCTAATTAGTCCGTTTGGGTTTTAAATATATACCTTTTACAAAGGTTTTTAATAAAATTTCTTTTAGCAAGTGTTGTAGCTGGAAATTTTAGTGTATTATTTGACTTTGCGTTCGTTAACATACTCGCTTGTTGAATGATCCTTTCTACTGTACGTAAAGATACTCTAGTAGCTTCACTCACACGTTTTTTAATACTGGTTCGATTATCTTCAGGAAATAGTATTTGCATATGTTTAAATACATTGTAAACTATTCCTTTGGATTCTGGTGTTAATCTGATCTGTTTACTCGTACTACACTTAACCATCTCCATTCTACAAAATATTTCTAATACGCGTGGTAGCACCTGTCTTGTTGAGACTCGACAAGATAATGAGACTAAATTACGAACTTGTTTGAAATCCAGTGACTAGAAATTCTCGGAAATAATTCTTATCAGTTCTTTGTATGTCCTTAACGAGTCGTTAAGGAGTCATTAATAATGACTTTATAATTACGGTTTTAACGTAACTGATACTAAATTAGAAATGACCTTTTACCAAACTTTATAGAGTATCAATTATTAAAGATGGTATTATAACAAACAAAAAGTTTGGTATCTATAAAACAATCTGTGTACAATCAAACTCCATTTATTATTTAAGTGAGTAATAATTTTATAATTAGTGCGATTTCAAATAATTTCATTTGTTTAATATTGCAACGCCACTGCATGGGTCTGATCATAGATATTCTATTGTCTGCGCGATTAACTATTTCGTGGAAGGGCTCGCCACTCGATTTAAAATAAGCTGTACTTTTACTTCCATAGTTTAATATCGGAACGGTATCATATGATTGTTTTTCAGATTTACTTAGTAACATCGCGTATGCTATCAATAATTGATTTGCCTGCTCTAAAGTCGATTTTTTCTTCTGATTGATACGAGTTCTCGCATATTATCTTCTTTATTAATTTTACATATAATCTACTGAGCATTCTTGTTGCTATTATGCCCTATTCTTTATTGCCTTTTTTGAGTATGTACATTTTTTGTCGAGTCAACAAACACCTATTATGTTAATGTAAAAATTCCTTAATTGCGCGATGCATTTATTTCATCACTCACTCCGAAAAAAATGTTATAAAATAAAAATAAAATTCTACGACTGTCTGTATATATATTTTGAGTAATGCTAAAGGTAAACTTAAGAACTGTGAAAGAAATATATATCATATACAATACCAATTTTTAACCTACAACAGATTTTATCTTAGAACTTCCTTTATACTCCGACTATTTGGATTATACTTACATATCACTTCTAAATAGCGGATAAGCTAGTTATTTATAGTTGTGTTTGTTATAATTATCAGATATAGAAGACAGATTATAGTAGTGAGTTTAAATAAAACACATTTTAATAAAAAAATATCTAACCGAATCATAATTTTTTAGGTTATCGCCTGAACGTACCTGGCCAACGATCAATGGACGAGACTTCAAGGAGGTCTAGTCTTTCAGAGGCCTCGGGGATGAGCAGTGCTTCCACGAGGACGTACATTAACGAAGCCAGTACTTTGGTGCTAGAAACTATAGAGAACGGAATAAAGAAACACTACCTCGTACCGCTGTCGTTAGCACAAAAGTCGAAATGGAGAAAAAAAGGAACCAAACTTCATATCTTCAATGATCACACGTTTGTTGCCAAACATTTACAAGGGTAAGTTAAAAAATCATTTTCTCTGTAGTGTAGTGACTTCTTCCATTTTTAACTTTTACTTAAATTCATCTCTACTCTGTAGTTTCACAAACTACAAATTTGTTTTTGTTGTTTTTAATAACTGAACAATTATGTTTCAGTGGTACCGTATGTCAAGTTTGTGGGAAGAGTATAGCCAGAAGATTTGGTAAGCAGGGGTACGAGTGTAGGGATTGTTTGATAAAATGCCACAAACACTGCCACGTGAAAGTGAATGACAACTGTCCAACGTCTACCATCCACAACGTTGAGCTGTAAGTATCCTTAAATAGTTTAACGTGATTCCATTTTTGAAAACTGTTACAAACAGAACAAAATTTTTTTGTATACATATACAATTTCCAATTAAGTCGGTACCTTATGGGAAACTTTTTTATTTTTAGTTTTATGAAACATATCTATAGCCCAAAATCTATTCATGTGTTGAATATAGGCCTCTCCCATTTGTCTTTGTCTTCTGTTTGTCTCTTCCACATTCGACCTGCGCTTTGCTCAATGTCATCTTTCCATCTCATTTGCGGTCGACCTCTTGACCTTTTTGCAGTATATAGTCTCCAGCGGTCAATTTCTTTATTCCATCTTCCATCCTGATATCTTTCGTTATGCCCAGCCCATTTCCATTTTAATTTCAATGCATGTTCGACAGCGTTTGTTGTTTCGGTTTTGCATCTTATCCACTCGTTCCTCTTTTTATCTCTCAACGATATTCCCAACATTTGTCTTTCCATAGCTCTTTGAGTTTCCTTTATTCTATCTAAGTTGCTCTTGGTACACGTCCATGTCTTGGCACCCTATGTCAGAACAGGTAGGACGCATGCATTAAATACCTTCGTTCTTAATTTTAAAGGTATTTTTTGGTTTTTGATGTATATGAGAGTTTTCCGAATGCAGCTCACCCCATTCCTATTCTTCTGGTTATTTCTTTAGTCTGGTTACTTTTGTCTGCTCTGATAGTTTGTCCTAAGTAAATATATTCTTGGACGTGTTCTATGTTTATTCCACCTATGGTAATTACTGATCTGTCTTCTGTATTAGTCATTATTTTAGTTTTCTTTAGATTCAATTTTAGTCCTTTCTCAAGAGATCTTTTTTCTAGGTCTGAAATCATTATTCGTAGTTGTTCCATAGTTGTTGCTATCAGGAGTACATCATCGGCGAATCTTAGATGATTTAAATATTTTCCGTTTATACAAATCCCTTTATTGTCCCAGTCTATAGATTTAAAAATGTCTTCCAATGCCAGAGTAAATAGTTTGGGTGAGATTGTATCCCCTTGTCTGACACCTCTACAAATTAAAATTAATGGAGTTTGCAAATCTCTGTCTAGCTGAATTCTCATAGTGGCGTTTTGATATATATTGTGGATTAACATTCTGTACCGTGAATCTATTCGGCAATTAACTAGCGCTCCTTCCACTGCCCATAGTTCTATGCTGTCAAACGCTTTTTCATAGTCAACAAACGCTAGGTATGTTGGAAGGTTGCATTCGTTGGTCTTTTCTATCAATATTTTAAGAGAGTGAAGGTGGTCGGTTGTGCTGTACCCCTTTTTAAATCCTGCCTGCTCAACTGGTTGGTATGCATCAAATTTGTTGTTCAGTCTAGTTGTGATCACCTTAGTGAAAGTTTTATAGATTTGTGACAAGAGAGATATCGGTCTATAGTTAGCTAATTTTGATCTATTTCATTTTTTATATATCAGAATTGTATTTGCCTTGTTCCACTCTTGCGGTATTTGTCCTTCAAACAAACATTTATTGAAAAGTATCTTTAGGTAGATCAGGGCCACTCCTAACACGATAGGAATAAGAAGTAAGATTAGATGTCCCTGTACCCACTCGAATTCGTTGATGAATAACTGGGAAAACGATATCAGACCACCTAAATACCGATTCTGATCGTCTGAGTTAGCAAGTTCATTGAATTGAGTCAAAATGCGACGCCTTTCGACTTCATTGACGTTCCCAATACAACGAAAACGGTGGCACTTGCAATCTGGCCCTACTTCATGAGTGTTGTCTCTCAGAAGTTTCAGAAAGGTCACGAACACAACCAATTTTTCTTTTTTTTGCTGTGGGAACAGCAGTCCCACATCTACATTTTATACAATCGCTACCACTACTTTCCATTTTATTCAGTATGTACTCACTACTTTACTATTGTTCAAATATAATCAACTGGCAAACTAGAACACACCAACGAAGTCGTTAAGCTAAGAGAGAGAATCACAGAAATGCTGCACCCGACCCTACCTGTTAAGACAGAGAGAGGGCGCCTTCGGACCCTGACGGTTATTCTCTCACAGCGCGCGGACTATGATGGTTCTTTCCCAGTACATATTTCAGTCCTTTTATTACAACATTTGTAATAAAAGAACTGTAAATGTTTTTCCCTTTTACTCCGTACCATGATTGTTTTCCCCCCGACTTCTCATATTTTTTTTAGTCATATACGCGGTTTGTGGATATTTTTAACTCTTACATAAAATTCATATTTTTTAAACGCCGCGTATATAGCTAAAAAATTTAATATATGATGATTGTATTATAGGTTTTAAAACATTCATAACTTTTTATAAAGAAGTAACTCTTTTTTATAAAATAAAAATAAAAAAGTTTCGTTTCCATATGGTCCAATTAAGTCTGCACCACTACGCTTATTTGCATCTTTATTTATGAGACTGAAAAGTATAATGAGAATGAATTACAAATCAAACATTTTTCGTTGCAATCCAGTGGTTAGAAATTCTCGAAATAATTGTTATTATTTCTTTGTATGTCTCTAATGACTATATAATTACGGTTTTAAAGATAAAACAATATTTGTAAAAGCAAATATCATTCATTGTTTAAGTGAGTAATACAGTATCTTACGGTTTCAAGTATAAAATATTCTCAAATTGATTAAAATTGCAGTACCACTAAATAGCTGTTTCTATTGTGTACGCGATAGAATATTTCGTGAAACTGCTCGCTACTGCGTTTGTAACCAGCTATATTGTTGTATTAAATACTGTAATTTTTTACAATATCAAGAAATTGTAAGATAGAAGAGTTCAATTAAAATAGAATTGTTTGTAACAGTTTAATATTCAGCCTTAAATCTTGCTCTATCTTCTCTATATCTAATTTAATTTGTTTCTATGGATCTATGCTACCCGTGTTGAGCGACTAACTGGTAAGATTTGATTTGACAACGTAGTTCTGTGTGTTTAATGTGCGCGTTTCGTTTGATGTTGCATGAAGATGTTTGTGCCTGTTGTTTTTAAGTGTTTATTTCATAAGGGCTTTATCTTTTTATTTTATGAACAATTACTGTTAATTTATACCAAGAGAAAACTGTTTAAAATGGAAGAAATTGGTAAAACGCTAATGTTGACTATACTTATATGTGTATGCATAGTATATATTATACAGTACGTTAAGTTTTAAATTAGATATATACACTATAAATGGCAATACTGCGCGCCCTCGACTTTTCACGAACCTCCGTTGCCAAGTCGCGCGTCACCAATAATTTGTCATTACACAGTGGTTGTTTAAAGCAATACAGCATCGAGTTATCAGTGGAACAGGTGATATTAAGTGGCCTGCGCAATCTCCATATCTTACACCCATGGATTTTTTTGCAAACATTTAAAAAGCATCATCTACGATCATCCTGATGCTGAAGCTCAAAATTTGAATGAATTAAAAAACCGAATAAGAGGAGTCTCCAATTCTGTTACAGAAGAAACTCCTTCATCTGTTCGCAGAAGTTTTTATGACAGATTATAAAAAAAGAAATAATTATTTTTATTTTATTAGAAATTATTTTTTACTTTTCAATAAGAGCATATTTCTCTTTATCTTTTTAAAGAGATGCGCTTTTATTTTTAATTCAACCACAAAAAATTGTTCACATTATTAAAAATCGATACAAATGCACCGCCTTATAAAGGTCAGTGTATTTTTATCGAGTTTGTGTTATAAGAAATGAACCAAGTATACGTAGGGAAATCAAAAATCAACATATGGAGATTTCCATGAGTTGTTATGTGTTACTAAATGGTTTTCTCGTTTTCTGTCTAGGAGTCTAAGTGTCGAAGGGGATCGGAGAATTTATTTCGTACAAGGTAATGTTGCCGATTTTGGTGTTCTATGTAGTTAGCAATATCTAATCCAAAACTTAACCTACTTTATGTATATATATACTTGTATATGCATAAATGTATAGGGCAACGATGAGATTTGAGGTTAGCGAAGTGAATGCTATTTAAATTCATATGTACATAATGTAGCTAGTACTGCAACATAGCGAAAATGTTAACGCAATTTAGATTTAAACTTTTGTTGATTTATAAGACATGCAGCGACAGTTTTTATTCTTTCGCCAAATTCTTAAAGTTTAACAGCAATCGGTCGTAAAAATGCATTTTTCGCTAGATATTGTGTCACTTTTTCTAGTATACAGTGCTAGTCAAAAGTCCGTTTCCCCCATCGTATCTTTTGAACGGTTATTGTTATAATAGTGATTTTGGAGGGAAGTAATAAACAGACGTAGGCTTCTCATCTAGTCATAACAGGTGACGTAATAGTGACAGATGACGTTACAACGCCACTGTGACAGATAATTTTAAATGGGACCTTATGGCAAGTGATACCTCGTTTAAAAGGTATTGAAAATACCTATTCAGTCATAATAATTTTATTTGAGTTTAAGCTCATTTTGATAAATAAATTAAATAAATACTAAAATTGTAGTTTCGCATTTAATTAATAAATATTCAAACCTCCGCCTCTGGTTACTTGTCAAAAAGTTGACGTTTTTCAATTCTCTAATTGTTTTTACGTCAACGTCAACTTTTTTTACAATTAACCAGAGGCGAACGTTAGAATATTTATTGATTAAATGAGAAACTACAATTATTTTAATATACCTATTCAATCATTTGTTTATATTGATTAAATGCGAAACTACAATTATTTTAATATACCTATTCAATCATACTAATTTTTTTGGATTTAAGATGCTTTTGACGAATAAATGAAATAAATACTAAAATTCTAATTCGGCATTTAATTAATAAAAATTCTAACGTCAGCCTTTGGTTATTTGTCAAAAAAGTTGACGTTTGTCAATTCTCGAGTTGTTTTTAGTTTACAAAAGCGTTTATAGCCCAAAATTTAGTTTCTGTTTCTACTTAGTTTAGTCAATTCAAGTTTAGTCAAGTTGTTTTTAGTTAGTTGTTCTTAGTTAATATTTAGTTTAGTTA